CTATCTATCTATCTATCTATCTATCTATCTATCTATCTATCTATCTACCTACAGCATCTACCTCCCTATCAATCAATCCTCCATCCTCAAAGCCAGGGAAGTACCTTGTGGGACTGCAACGCTTCCACCTGGGCTAACCTTTCTCCCTCTGCTTTCCTTCCAAGGACTCTCCCAGGGCGATGGAGAACCTCACGTTCCTGCCGTACGCCGTGATGATGAATGCCAGCGCCAACTCCTCGGAGGCCGACTGCGGTGAGGAGGAGCACCCTTACAAGTGCAAGTTCAACGAGGACTTCAAGTACATCCTCCTGCCCGTCTCCTACAGCATCGTCTTCGTGGTGGGCCTCACCCTCAACCTACTTGCCCTCTACGTCTTCCTCTTCCGCATCAAGACCTGGAACGCCTCCACCACCTACATGTTCAACCTGGCCGTGTCCGACTTGCTTTACGTCATCTCCTTGCCCTTGCTGGTCTACTACTACGCCATGGAGGACAACTGGCCCTTCAGCGTGGGCTTATGCAAGATTACCCGCTTCCTTTTCTACACCAACCTGTACTGCAGCATCCTCTTCCTCCTCTGCATCAGCGCCCACCGTTTCATGGGCGTCTGCCTCCCTCTCCGGTCCCTGGAATGGGGCCAGGTACGCTACGCCCGTTGGGTCTCCGCTGCCGTGTGGTTGGTGGTGATCTCCTGCCAGTCGCCGGTCCTCTTCTTCGTCACCACCAGCCAGAGGTGCAACAGCATCACCTGCCACGACACGTCCGCCAAGGAGCTCTTTGACCAGTTCCTCATCTACAGTTCAGTGATGCTGGTCCTCCTCTTCTGCATCCCTTTCCTTCTCCTCATCGTCTGCTACTGCATGATGGCCCGCAAGCTTCTCCAGCCCACGCGAGGAATCTCCCGCATGTCCAGCTCCAAGAAGAAGTCCGTGAAGATGATCCTCATCGTCATGTTGGTCTTTATCATCTGCTTCCTACCTTTCCACATCACCCGGACTCTCTATTACTCCTTCCGCAGCTGGGACCTCAGCTGTCCCACGCTGGACGCCATCAACCTGGCTTACAAACTCTGCCGCCCTCTGGCCAGTACCAACAGCTGCCTGGACCCCATCCTGTACTTTTTGGCGGGGCAAAAGTTTGTCAAATTTGCTTGTCCCCAAACCGCAGCGAAAAATGGCACCCAGTCGGGGACGACCAGCGTTCCCCATTGCAACTTCCGGGGACGAGATCAACTAGCCATGAAAACCAAAACCACGGTATCGTAGCCAAGTCTCGTTTCGAACGTTGCCTGCCACCGGGAAAGCCTTCTTCTGAAATTCTGCAAAGGCGTTTTCCACCAGAGTTGGTTTCGTTTAGTTTATTGTCATTTGCACACACCGTACGATGAAATTAAACACCATCTTCGGTGTAGTACGCGGTAGAAGGCAATAGAGTTACTGCCCTGGGATAGAAGCTGTTTTTCAGCCTATTTGTCCTTGTTTTTATTATCCTGTACCGTCTGCCAGATGGTAATAGTTCGAAAATAATAATAATAAGGGATGCCCAGGATGAGTTGGATCTTTGAGGATGTTTTGAACTTTCTTAAGGCAGCAGGAGAATGTTTTGAACTTTTTAAAAGCTCTTCCAAATAGGGGAGAGGGCAATTGCATTCTATGCAATTAATATTGTGTTAGTATTGCACTATATAGTAGAATGCAATAGAGTTACTGCCCTGGGATAGAAGCTGTTTTGCAACCTAATTTGTCCTTGTTTTTATTATTGTCCTGTACCATCTGCCAGGTGGTAATAGTTCAAAAAAAAGGGGGTGCCCAGGATGAGATGGATCTTTGAGGATGTTTTGAACTTTCTTAAGGCAGCGGGAGCTATAAAGCTCTTCCAAAGAGGGGAAGAGGACAACCTAGGATCCTCTGGGCAATGACATTAACCCTCTGGAGCGCTGTCCTATCTGCCACTATGCAATTGGCAAACCCTACACAGGTGTGCAGTAAGTTAAGATACTCTCTCTGGTGCAGCGGTAGAAGGTCACCAGCAGTTTTTCATTCAGTTGTTGTTTCCTGAGAAGCCTCAGGTAGTATAATCTCTGCTGGGCCCTTTTGACCAGGGCTGCAATGTGAGCACCTCCAGGTCAGGTCATGGAGGCATGAAGGGTATGGAAAAATCACTATTTAAATGTCTTTTTATTTTATTTTAGAAGCATGGAGACCAGAGCGCTCTTCATAAGCACTGGTTTATGTTTCCAAGGTGTATCTTGCACCGTGGAAAGTCGTTTGTCGATATAAAAATGTGAGGATATTATCTCATGGGGGGGAGGGAAAATTAATGTAAATCAGACATTGACTGTGTTCCGACAACATGGAAACAGGGTTAAAATGTGGCTTGGCAGGACAAGAGACCAGGGTGGGCCGACAACAACTGACAGCCAGGTCTTATCGCTTCCTTGTTCCTAAATATTGTAATGTTTTCCTTTGCAATTATGGACAATTTCCCTTTATTAATGTCTCTTTGGAAGAGGTTTTGCTTTTGAGAGATGGAACAGAATAAAAATAACAATTGTACTGATCTAGTAATATATAGCAGAAATAATAGTCCTTTGTGATTCTTGATGTGGGATTTCAATCACAGAGAGAAGAGGCCTTTGAATAAAACGTGTTAGTCTGAAAAAAAATGCCACTGGATGCTGATTTTGGGCTAAAATAGACTAAAATGCTTGTGTTCCCACAATGTCAACATGTTGGGTGAACCAAGCCATCATGCTAAGTCATTGTGGCTGAGTTTACACAACATGTTTAACTCAGTTTAAGGAAAGACCTAGTGGAAATGTTGCTAAATTTAGCTAGAGTTAACCTTGATTGGATTTTTTGGTGGCTAAAGGTGCAGCGTTAAATTAACCAGATTACTAAACCGGGTTAATCTAGGTGTGTGACATGATAGCAGTTTTCCAATATTTGAGTCTGCTACAAAGAAGAGGGAGTCAAGCTATTCTCCAAAGCCCCTGAAGAGGCAGGACAAGAAGCAACGGATGGAAACTCATCACGGAGAGAAGCAACCTGGAATTAAGGAGAAACTTATCAACAGTGAGGACAATTAACCAGTGGAACTGCTTGCCACCAGAAGTTGTGGGTGCTTCATCGCTGGACGCTTTCAAGAAGAGGCTGGGAAGTCACTTGACTGGGATGATATAGTTGAGCAGGGGGTTGGACTAGAAGACCTCCAAGTTCCCTTCCAATTCTGTTATTCTGTTACCCTGGTTCGATAACATAGTGCGCATAGTGTGAAGTTTTAGGCAATGTGATTTATTCATCGCATCGCAATATGTGATGTGAGCAACGTCACTGAGTTCTCTTGATTTTAAGAGGTTACCTGCGTTTCTAATATTGTACTGTAATTGACAAAGCATTGCATGAATAATAGCTGATATCCATTAACCTCCCAATTTTTATGGACCTCCATTCAGCAGATTTTGGATGCAATAAAGAAAATTCACTTGGACAACATTTGTATATTTTCTCTAGAATTTGAATATAAATTAGAAAAAAATCTCTATGTAAATTATGAAAAGATTTACTCAATTATCTACCTTCTCATTTAATGGAGATTTGGCTTTAACAGATACCCTTTCCTGATCCATGGGTTCATAAAATTAAGGTGTTTTTTTTTAAACTAATGGTATTATTATTTTTTTCCTGGGCTGCAACCTTTCAGCTTCCAAACAGCCGTAGAAAGGAAAATAGAAGTGGTATTTTTCAAACGTGGCAACTTTAAGTTGAGTGGACTTCAACTCCCAGAATTCCCCAGGAGACATACAGATTGGGGAATTCTGGGAGTTGAAGTCCACCCGTCTTTAAATTTGCCACGTTTGAGAAAACCTTGATTAAAGTTTTGAGACTTAAACTTCCCTTTGCATTGATTATTCCTCCTCTGGAATGTTTCGATTCAGCAAAGTTTGTCCAATGCGGGTCATCCTTGACTTATGACCATTCATATTGTGACCATTCAAAGCCAAAATGGCACTGAAAAAGGTGACTGATGACTTTTGCAAGAAAGGTGGCAAGAAAGATCCTAAAATGTGGCGAAACTCAAGTTAACTGCTGTCGTGCTGTCGGCAACAATTGTGGCCGTAAGTTGAGGACTTCCTATACTTGCAAACTGCCAGCTGCAATCCATGTGAAAACATGGCAAATTGGCCATTTAAATGCTTTATAAATAAGGCGAGTAGAACCAGGTAATTCACCTTTGCCCCTTTTCTTCCCGTACACCTTGGACAACAGCGACTCTTGCAGAAAGTTGCAAATGACGGTGCTTAATGAAGTGCTCTTAAAAAGGCCATTTTTCCAAACGACTGTTTGTTAAAGTCCCTGCAAGAATTTTAAGGGTTTTCTTTTCCTTCTGGAAACTCCTGTGTGTTGAAAATTTGCATCCCTTTCCCAGCCATAAAACCCACAAGATCCCCTTTTAGGCGAGCCGTTTTTGTATCTCCTGCCACAAACTTGCAAGTTGGGTTCACACAATCTTTTCAACCAGACCTGTTTAAAAAAAAAAAAAAAGAACCTTGTATGTGAAGCCGGGGTTTATTTGAAGATGGGTTGTTGCAGGAAAAAAAATGACCTATTATTAATTACTATTACAAGATGGTTTGTGGATGAATTTCATTCTCTCGGGTTAACCTCAAAAAAAGGGGAAAACACAGACCCAGGAAACTATAGACCAATCAGCCTAACATCAATACCCGGGAAGATACTGTAAAAAATAATAATTAAAAAAAAACCAGATCTGCCAACGTCTAGAAATAAGTAAAATAATAACTAGCAGTCAGCACGGGTTTGTTAAGAACAGATCATGCCAAACCAATCTTATTTCATTCTTCAACAAAGTCACTAATTTAGAAGACCAGCAAAATACTGTGGACATAATATATTTAGATTTCAGCAAGGAATTTGACAAAGTATACCACAACCTACTTCTTAGTAAGCTAGAAAAAAAGTGGAATAGATAGCACCACCACTAGATGGACTCGCAACTGGCTGGCAAACTGTACTCAATGAGTCCTTAATGGGTCTAAGTCTACAAGTAAGCAGTGAGGTGCCACAAGGTTCTGTCTTAGGCCCAGCCAGGACTCTTCAATATCTTCATTAACGACTTAGATGAGGGAATAGAAGGGGAACTTATCAAATTTGCAGATGATACTAAGCTGGCAGGAATAACTAACACCCAAGAAGATAGGCTCAAGATACAAACTAGACTACAACACTGGGCCCTATCTAACAAAATGAAATTCAATGTAGAGAAAAGTAAAGTCCTACACTTAGGCAAGAAAAACTAAAAGGACACGTATAGACTGGGTGAAAACCAGGCTCAATAGCAGGAACTGGGAGGGGGATCTTGGAGTCTTAGTGGACAACCAGCTAAATAGGAGCCAGCTGTGTGCAGCCACCGCCAAAAAAGCCAATGCAATCCTAAGTTGCATTAACAGAGGGATACAATCGAGATCAAGGGAGGTACTAATACCATCCTATAAAGCCTTAGTAAGACCACACCTAGAGTACTGCATGCAGTTTTGGTCACCACACTATAAAAATAGGTATTGAGACTCTAGAAAAAGTGCCGAGAAGAGTAACCAGGATGATTAGGGGACTGGAGGTTAAAACATACGATGAACAGTTGCAGGAATTGGGCCTGGCTAGTCTAGGGAAGAGAAGGACCAGGGGAGACAGGAGAGCAGCCTTCCAATATTTGAGGGGCTGCCACAGAGAGGAGGAAGGGGTCATTTTCTAAAACACCCGAAAGCCAGACAAGGAACAATGGGTGGAAACTGATCCAGGAGAGATTCAACCTGGAAATAAGGAGAAACTTTCTGACAGTGAGAACAATCAACCCAGGGAACAGAAATTTGCCTTCAGAAGTTGTGGGAGCTTCATCCCTGGAGGATTTCAAGAAGAGACTGGACTGCCATTTGTCAAAAATGGTGTAGGGGGTTGGACTAGATGACCTACAAGGTCCCTTCCAACTCTGATTTATCTGTTATCAGACATCCAAGCATTTGCTTGGCTGAATTTGAACTCGCTTCTCCTTTTAAACACGTTTTTCTGACCCCCGAAATCACCGGATAGGAAGATGTGCCTTGTTCACAGAGGTGCTTTGTTCCTCGCGAACTTTTAAGGCGCTGACTGGGATTCGTGATTTTAACCAAGATTCTTTAACCCTTTTATTTGTTGTTGGGGCTTTTTGGTCTTTTTTTTTTTTTGGTGTCTTTTGTCTTTTTCTTTTAAAAAATGCACTCTGCTGGGAAGGAGGAAAAGCAGCTGGTGATTATTCAAATAAAGATGTTATTAATCAGAAGGAGTTGAATGGGGGCAGAGGCAGTGGCAGTCAAAAAAGTCAAGATGGCGGCTGCAATGGCACCATCAAAACTTCACCTCAGGTTTTAATTGTTGCAGCCAC